TTTTTATTTCATTAACCCCCACTGAAACACATAACTCTTTGTTTAAAACTTTTAGATCTTCATCAATTACCTGATCATCTTAATTTTCATAATACAAGGTAATATATTAGTTAATTTTTATTTTGCTAAATTATAAATATTTCATTAAATTTCACTACATTTAAAATATGACACAGTGATAGTCTTACGCTGTCGCTGTCGTGTGATTTATCAACAAAACAAGAAACGGACCTTCAAGTCATACAGCCAAACAGCCAACCAACCAAGCAGTCAGATCAATGTACGTGTTCGCATCCAGTGTGGTGGTTTTATCCACTGCACCGTGGTTTCGCTTATTTTATTAATGACGGAATATTGTGTGTATCATTATGTTTTATTCTTATAATAGATTATCTATATTTTGATGTGTAACAATACGTACGCTTTGCTCGAGGTGGCAACGCCTTGGGGTCTCGGCCCCGAGCCACGTTGGGTGAGTCGCAATGCTTTGCTCGAGCTTTGCTCGAGGTGGCAACGCCTTGGGGTCTCGGCCCCAAGCCACGTCGTTTTGGAACACTCGTTTTTGATGCCCTTTTGGCTGCGGGAGCTCGCTCGTCTTCACTCGCTGTCGATCTCTAAAAGACTGTGTCGTCGTCTCATGACGCGCCGAACCTTTGCTCTCGCTCCCCGCTTTCCCCGTCTCGCCTATTGGTCGGTCGATCTCTTACGATTCTGCCGATCGGCGATTGGAGGATCAGTGGGAGTTCACGTGTCCCTTCGATGACGAGCGAGCATTCCCTTTGTGACTCAACGAGTGTTTGGCTTATCTATTGTCTACTGACTATTGACTGTTTGTCGTGCACGACGTCGTATACGTATATTTACTTAGGATCTAGATATAAAGAACTGTCTCAACATACTCCCCCCGTTGAGAGTACAACGATCAACATATTTGGTTTAAAACGCCGTTTACAATACATTCGGTTTACAATGTACTTATATGATATGACTCGCCGCTAACTTATTGGTAGTGGACACATTTGTTTGGTCGCTCGCTTCGTTTCTCCGGATGTTGTCTTGACGGTGGCAGCTCGCACTACTCCGTCTTCGCCTGGGTGTACCGTAAGGATTCTGCCTAGTGCCCATTGTGCGCATGGCGTGTTTTTTTCCTTTAAGAGTACCACAGTTCCAGCCTTGAGTTCGGGTCCGTCTTTTATCCATGTAGTGCGTTTTTGCAGTTCACTTAGATACTCGAGATGCCATCGAGCCCAAAAATCTTGTCGCACCTTAACTATGTGTTGCCAAACAGTTAGTCGGTTTGCTGGAACAGAAGACAACTCCTTTTCCGGAAGCGCGGTTATCGGTTTGCCGATGAGATAATGCCCTGGCGTTAACGCTAGCAAGTCGTTCGGGTCTGGAGAGAGGGAGGTAATGGGTCTGGAGTTAAGGATGCCCTCGATTTCTACAACTAATGTATTTAACTCTTCGAATGTGAAGAGTGCATCTCCGACTACCCGTTTGAAGTGATGCTTGAAGAGCTTCACGGTGGATTCCCATAGCCCGCCAAAGTGTGGTGCTGCTGGCGGGATAAAGTGCCATTTAATTTGGTTTTCGCATGCAAACCGATCAACTGTGTTCTTATGTTTACCGGAGTTAAACAAAGCGTACATTTCCCTCAATTGGTTGTTCGCGCCTACGAAGTTTGTTCCATTATCGGAATAAACTTGGGCTGGTATGCCCCGTCTCGAGATGAACCGTCGCAGAGCTGCTAAGAAGCCGTCCGAGGCTAAATCGCTCACTACTTCAAAGTGTACCGCCTTTATTGTCATGCACACAAATATACAAACGTACACCTTTATTCGAATGCGATTGCGGTGTTTTTTCTCTTTAATGTAAAACGGTCCGCAAAAATCGACGCCGGTATTGGCGAAGGGAATGGCTTCCCGCACTCGAACTTGCGGAAGATTTCCCATTTTGTATTTTATGGTGTCGTTATTGAATCGATAGCAACGTACACAAGAGTGAACGATTTTTCGTACCTGGTTTCGGCCGTCTAAAATCCAAAATTTCTGTCGAATATTGTATAAGGTACCTAATATACCTGTATGATGTCGCGTCTCGTGAATTTCGCGGATAATACAATCGGTTAGGTAATGTCGGCTTGGAAGCAAAATGGGGTATCTTTGTGAGTAAGATAGATTCGCCTTTCGCAGACGTCCTCCTACCCGAATCAGGCCATCGTTATCCAGAAATGGGTTCAAGTTGGCTATTCTATTTCTGTTAGTGACACCCTTTGATTTAAGTCCCTTAATTTCCTCGGAAAATTGAGATGATTGGATTATTCTTAGTATTTTCACTTCCGCTGTTTCGATTTCTTCGACTGTTAAATTGCCCTTGCATTTGTTGAGAGGATGAAACCGGAAGCAATACGCGATGATCCTGCGTAATTTGGAGTACGATGAGTATCTTTTAAATATGTCGGGATCGCGGGGTGTTATCATTAGACAAGTGTTTCTTTTCAGTTCGGGAGTCTCTATAGTTTGCATTATTGCGCGAGGCCATTCATTTTCAGATCTACTTAACCACTGAGGGCCGGTGCACCATGTTTTATTTTGAAGTAAATTTTGAGGCAATTGCCCTCTAGAAATAGCGTCGGCGGGGTTGAATTCTGATTTAATATGTCGCCATTCTATTGATTTGGTAAGTGTTTGTGTTTCAGTGATTCGATGAGCAACGAATGTTTTAAGCAAGTGGGGAGGAGTCTTTAACCAATGTAGCACGATCGTCGAGTCACACCAGAGAGTGATTTTATTAGTTGCAATGTTTAGCGCGTTATTGACTTCCCTAAGTAGTCGCGCCAATAGTAGCGCGCCGCAAAGTTCCAAACGTGGCATCGTTGTTGATTTTAATGGAGCGACTCGCGATTTGGCGCATAACAATCTGCAAATTACCTTTCCATTGATTCCGATCGAACGTACGTACAGACTCGCGCTATAACCGTTATTACTGGCGTCGCAAAAACCGTGTATCTGTATGTAACATGCTGGTTGGGAGATCGTTAAGACTCCGTTCGTCATTAGTTGCCCACTGTCGCATGAGGAAGCCGCCCTTGGCCAACAACGCGATTATCTCGTCTCTAATTGCTCTAGCTTCGTTTATGGTCTCGGCGCCGGTGGATAAATTATCTACGTATAAGTGTTTTTTAAGGATTAGAGCCGCCCTAGGATATGTATGCCCTTCGACTTCCGCGAGTTTTTGTATGACCCGTATCGCGAGAAAGGGTGCGGAGGAAACGCCGAATGTTAAGGTGTTAAGTTGAAGCGTCTTTACTTCGTCGTGTATGCGCCAGAGAATTTGCTGATAATGTCTGTCTTCTTCATGTACTAGCACTTGCCTATACGTTTTCTCTATATCTCCAATAATAGCATATCTATGTAAACGAAAACGTATTAAATGTGTAAATAAGTCGTCGTAAGTTATCTAGATGTATAAGTAACGTATTATGTCGCCTTTGATATATTGTGCAAGTAGTAAATTTGCACGGCGTTCCGCGATGCGATCGTAAGCAATTATAGCATAGGTTCGCATTTTTTATCATATCGATACGTTTAAGTACCGGCAAACGTTTGAATCCGTCGCATAAGTAAAGTGCGTGTTGTTTGGTTTTACACGCTATACAATTACGTGCTGAGTTTACTAAAGGACTTAACCCGATGGATAACTTCGTCTTTTCTTCATCGGAGGTTCGCCTTTATTCCCTTCCGTTTGTGATATCCTACTTCTTTCACGTCTAGACGCGCAAACCGCGGTTTCGTATATAAATTCGTATAATTGGTCGACTCTTGGAAATTCGTCTCTTTGTAGCGTTGCTTCCCATTTATCTATGGTCCCCTTTGGCAATTTACTTTCTAGAAGATGAACTAATATTTCTGACCCGACCGATACGCCCAACGCGTTTAACGAAGCTATGTGTTGTTGAAATTCGTCAGCTATTTTAGATAGGCCTTCTGTGGATTCTCTGTCTAACGCGGGAAAGTTTATGATTAACGATAAATGTCGCGAGACTAGTATGCGTTTTACCTCGTATGCGCGTTCCAACAATTCCCATGCCTTTGCGTAATTTATACCGTCGATAGTAAATGTCTTCGTTTTATTGGCAGCTATTCCTGTCAACGCCGACTTCAAATAATGTAATTTATCTACGTCCGACAAATCTGTTTGGGACCCTATCATATTGTTGAACGCGTTCTTAAAGGAGAGCCAATTTTCATATTGGCCGTCGAAGGTTGGGAGCGGAGCGTCGGGTAATTTTATTCGTCGTTTTTTGGTAGTCATGCTCTGTGAACTGTCGGACTGCGTGTCATCGTTCGCTGTACTACCGCTCGCGGTACTACCGTTCGCGGTACTACTGTTCGCTACGTTAGTTGGATTGAGCAACCCTTCGATTTTACTCGCAAGCGCGTAATACCGATCTTGAAGGCTTGTAAATTCGACTTGATGATTGTTATCTGGATCTAATACTACTAATTCGTCATTGTGGCGCGTGGAATAGTTCTGTCAAGCGAGCACTTCGTAATTTTAGATTGGCGTTATCTATTTTGCCTTTTTCCAATATATTGGCTAAGTTGGTAAGTTGGGATTTGAATGTTGTCCTTTTCTGTACAAGAAGCTTGATCTTGTCTGCCATTATTGCGGCCGTGTGAGGACTAGGATGGATCGGGAATGAACGACTTACTTGTGACGACAACGTGTGTGTGACTTCCTTCGCGGCGCTGATTCGGGAAGTCCAACCTCTTTTCTTGAGCGCTCTTTTCTTGAGCGTGACGCTGATGTCCTTGGCTGATCGCTTCTCGCAGACCAGGGGGTCACTTTGTCGTGAGTTCGAACCTCACAGGAGGCACCATGTTCGCATCCAGTGTGGTGGTTTTATCCACTGCACCGTGGTTTCGCTTATTTTATTAATGACGGAATATTGTGTGTATCATTATGTTTTATTCTTATAATAGATTATCTATATTTTGATGTGTAACAATACGTACGCTTTGCTCGAGGTGGCAACGCCTTGGGGTCTCGGCCCCGAGCCACGTTGGGTGAGTCGCAATGCTTTGCTCGAGCTTTGCTCGAGGTGGCAACGCCTTGGGGTCTCGGCCCCGAGCCACGTCGTTTTGGAACACTCGTTTTTGATGCCCTTTTGGCTGCGGGAGCTCGCTCGTCTTCACTCGCTGTCGATCTCTAAAAGACTGTGTCGTCGTCTCATGACGCGCCGAACCTTTGCTCTCGCTCCCCCCTTTCCCCGTCTCGCCTATTGGTCGGTCGATCTCTTACGATTCTGCCGATCGGCGATTGGAGGATCAGTGGGAGTTCACGTGTCCCTTCGATGACGAGCGAGCATTCCCTTTGTGACTCAACGAGTGTTTGGCTTATCTATTGTCTACTGACTATTGACTGTTTGTCGTGCACGACGTCGTATACGTATATTTACTTAGGATCTAGATATAAAGAACTGTCTCAACAGTACGGATAATACATATAGTGATACCAGTCTCAAAGACGTAACATTTCCACCCAGTTTCAATTTAGCTAATGTGCGAGAAGAAGGTACAGTAATTTTATATTAAAATTTCATATTTATAAAATGTTATTGCAATATTTAATAAAACTTTAATTTTTATTGTACTTTTAATATTTTGACACTGAAAAAGATTAAATAGTGTTTCTGATGGTTAATTTTCTGAATAAGTTTTCCAACAAAATTATGGAAATATATCAGATGAAATTTGATCAAAAAACCGATTATATTTTTCATTGAATATAGAATTTAATCGGATATATCTGTTTGTTACTATGTAATTCGATTATTTAATTATATTTAATCGGACATTTTTCTCACATTGCACATAAACCATGTAGATTCCAACTAATAGCAGTATAAAGATAATTATTTATCATATTAAGGGTTGGTTGTTCCAACCTCTTGGTAAGTTACCTAATAGTTAAATAATATGTGTGTCTTTGTTTTTCCTTTAAATTAGATAAAGATAGACATAATTTAACTATTACTTAACTTACCAAGAGGTTAAAAAAACCGGTCCTAAATGAGAAAAAGAATAATAAGTATACTATCTCTCATTTTAGAATCTGATGATAACTCAAGTCATGTAGGCTCAATTAATGAATCAAGTGATTCCTCTTACATGCCTGAGTCAGATATTTCTAATGATAGTGAGACAGAAAACATAGAAAATTCAGAAACTTCTATAAATGACAAAAATCACACTTTACCTAGAACATCAGAAAATACATCTTTGGAAACGTCAACTTCTTTTAAAAATAGCGCACCAGATGACACGTATATGTATGTAAAACCTGTAGAATCTGGAAGTAAGAAGGATTTTTGCATTTATTGTCACACAGAACAATCAAAACTAAGTCGTCATCTCAACAGAAAACATAGAGACATCAAAGAAGTAAAAGACATTTTGTGTATTCCAAAGGGACGGCCAGAGCGTAGAGTTTTGATTAATAAAATTCGTAAAAATGGGCAATACCTTTTTAATACTAATGAAAGTACTAATACGGGTGAATTGAAAGTCATGAGGCGTCCTAAGGCTATATATAACAAAGATGCTACAGATTTTGCTATATGTCCCGTTTGCAAGGGTAATTATTCGAAATCAGCTATTCGACATCATCATAGAAGATGCAGTAAAAAAAATTCTACAAAGAAAAGATCTATATTAGTGAAATCAAGAAAAGTTACAGGCCGAATTCACGAATGTGCAAGTAAAGTTCTTCGAGAACGTGTTTTTCCCACAATGAAAGATGACAATGTTTCGAGAGTTATAAGATATGACGAATTGGTTATTGATTTTGGTAACAAATTATGTGAAAAATATCACGATCCTCATTTTTATGATATGATTCGTCAAAAATTGCGTCAAATAGGGCGTCTACTTCTCGAGATGAAGAATCAAAATGAACAGATTAATGATCTCTTTACAATTTTTACACCCGATAATTACGATGACTGTCTCAAAGCTGTCAGATCTTTAGCAGGCTTAAATGAATCCGGAAATGGTTTTAAAACTCCATCATTGGCAACGTCTTTAGGCACTTTGTTAAAACAACTCTGTAAACGATGCATCACAGTAATGATAAAAAAACGTGATAAAGAAAAACGAAAACTTGCAGAAGAGTTTCTAAGCCTAATAACTGAAGATTATTCGTCTTCTATAGCTCGAACAGCTGTTGAAACCCAGCATCAGAAACGAAGACAGTCAAAAAAATTACTACCAACGCAAGATGATATTAAAAAGTTAGAGATGCATTTAAGAGATAGACTAAAAACTGCCTATGATTTATTTAAAAAAAAATTTTCTTTTTACGCTTGGGAATCATTGGCGGAAAGTAGTTTGGTGTCCATTCAATTATTTAATCGTCGTAGACCAGGAGAAATTGAACGTGCTTTAATTGAAGATTTCCACAACTATCAAAAAGTAAATGAAAGTACAATTGGTACATCTTATCAATCGCTGAGCAATGATGAAAAGAAAGCAGCAGCAACGTATGTCAGATTTACTATGAGAGGGAAATTAGGCCGCACTGTGCCTGTTTTACTTCATAAGCAAATGTTGGAAAATTTAAAATTACTTCTACGCTATCGTGAAGTAGCAAATGTTCACCCAAAAAATCCATATCTTTTTGGGATTCCTGGTACATTAAAAGGAGATTACCGTTACTTAAGGGCTTGTGATCTTATGAGAAAGTATTCAGAGGAATGTGGAGCATTGCATCCAGATAGATTGCGTGGAACTAATTTAAGGAAACATATAGCTACAATGTGTACCAATTTAAATCTAAGAGACCATGAAGTTTCGGACTTGGCTAATTTTATGGGTCATGCTGACAAGATACACAAAGAGCATTATCGACAACCTATTTTAAGTAGAGAAATATTTCAAGTATCTAAGTTATTAGAAATTATGCATGGAAAAGACAGCGATGAAGATACTGATGAAAATGATGTTGATAAAAATAGTTCTTTCAATAATATAGAATTTGGAGCATCACATTCATCACGTATGTACATTTTTCTTCTTTTTGTATGTTTAATGATTAAGTAATCCGTTATTATAATATCAATAACAGCAATTCCCCCCCATAAAATATTGATTAGAATATGATCAAATTTCATTAGATTACATGCAATTTCAATGTAAAGAAATAAGTGTCGTAATTTAATACAATTATTGTATAATGATGTTAGGGTGTAAGCCGATTCTCTTGGAAAGGTAAAAGGAAATAACTACTGTTTAATTATGCCTTATATACATTTTTTTTACAGAATCATTAGATCTTGACGAATCTAACACAAGTCAACATACATTAAAGAAAAATATAACTTTATCATCTTCTCCCAAAGTAACTTGTAAGAATAAGAAAAAACGTTCAAGTAAGTTATAAAAGTTTATAAGTCATAGATTAAATTGTAAGATATACATATTTATGTATGTTTTCATTATCAGCATCTCCATATGGAAAATGTATTCGTCGTCGATGGACTGAAGAAGAAAGGAATATTGCACTTGCAAAATTCCAATATCATATAGATAATAAAATTCAACCTTCTTTCAAAGAAATTCAAAAATTGAAGGATGACAACCCCAATATTTTCAATAGAAATTGTGCAACAATTAAAACATGGATAAACAATCAAATGAAAAATCAAAAATAATAATGATTAAGTGGAATGAAATTGAGTTTAATTACTGATCTATAAACGTTAGTCCAGCAACTGTTCATTTTCCAACATCACGTTTCTAGATCACTAATAGCACTATGTGAAAAAGGATGGCTCTATACATATACACATATTCGTTGATTTAGTAATACCTTAGTAGTAATGTATTAATTATAGTAGTAAGAATATAGTGATAGTAATATAAGTATAATAGTAATGTTTTTATACTGTAGCAATAACGTACATTATTTATACTCCCGTATAGATAACGTAAATTTATAGTATAAGTATTATTTATTGATTTATAGTATTAATATCATTTATATGATTGCTATAGAATAAATGAGAATAATTGTTTGTCGTGTTACATAACTATTTCAGTGCTTTATAAGTTACCATATGTATGGGCACGAAGTAGGTTAATAATTTTGAACATAGAACTTCCCACGGTGGAAGAGAGGGACGTAGTAGAAAGTATTTATACTACATCTAAGTACTCCCAGCGTTTTATTTTTTACTTTATAAGACATTTGTACACACTGAGAAAAATTTCCATCGGATAAACTAATTAAATAATGTTTTCAACGATTAATTTTTTCTATTAAATTTTCCGATTAAATTGTGGATATATCCGACGAAGTGCAGTTATTGATGAAATTTAATCGAAAAATCAATATCCTTCAAAGTGTACAATTTAATTGCCTTTCCGTTTGTTTGTACGAAATTGGATTATCCTACTATACATATGTACTCGGATATTTTTCTCAGAGTAATAAATTTGTTTTTTAGTATATTTTCCGACATTTTTGTTTCTCTGTGGCTACTCATAATTTTCTGTGATATTGTTTTTCACCTAAAAATATTTAAATCAACTAAATTGTATTAAAAACAACTCCCAAACAATCAGCACTTTATTTGTGAGCCTAGTCTTAATTTTCTTTATTGCTAATGTTCTATTAGCACTTTTCTCTTGGTTTACATTTATTGTATCCGAAAATAAATATGATATATTATCCGTAAACCAGACTGAATGTTTTCTGTTCTCCTTGTAGATAGTATTAATTTTTATGTTTCGTAAATCATGAAGAAGAAAGTAAATAAGTTAAACTTGATAAGTTTTCTTTTAAATGACTAGAGAGAGAGAGTATTTTATTTTTGACTTCGTAGAGAATTGTAATAACTTTGGTTATAGGTGATGTTATTTACGACTTTCTCTATTCTTTAGATATACTTTTTAGTTTTATCTATTAATTTCTAATTCTTTGAATAAAAAAATGGACATCAAGTTAATTAAAAACGACTGTCTCACGACACAAGATTTTACGATTTCTATAATGCTTTAAACTGTAGTCAAAAAGCTTTCACAATAATCAAGATGGCTAGTAAAATTAATATCCACTACATGCTATTATACATCCTTTGACTAGTTAATAAATCTACAAGAAACTGCTAAGTGGTTTAATTTGTGTACACTCGTAATTGGTACAAAAACTGTGTACAGAGCTTAGGTATTGTTAAGTGTCATAAAAAAGAAATAGGTTAACTTACCGATTCTGCTTTTTGCCATAATATCGTAGAAATCGGACCTCGTATGTGACGTTACGCCATTAATGACGATTTCGGCGATATAATGATAAAAAGCAGGACCAGCCAGAGGAGCTATTACTTTTCTATAAACTTTATTAAAATTCTCGTTTTTATGGGTCTATCGTTATTAAATTACAAATTGAAGCGTTTATTAGCACCTCTAAGGCTAATTAAAACTGAGCAAACCTAACGTTTCAGAAGCTTCTAGGTTAGGAAGCTTGGATACACTGAGCATGTAATGAGCATATATTCATTTTGAATTAGCCTTAGAGGTGCCAATAAACGTTTCAGTTTGTAATTTAATAACAATATACCCATATAAAACAAAAATTTTATTAAAAATTTAGAAATGTAATAGTTCCTCTGGCCGGACCTGCTTTTTATCATTACATCGCCGAAATCGGATCTCGTATATGACGTTACGTCGTTGATGACAAATTTTTCATTTTTGCAAGTGTAAGCTAGGAAGTTAGACAACACATAAATATAATAGCAAGCACGTAGCAAGCATTTATACCTTGCTATTATATTTATGTGTTGTCTAACTTCCTAGCTTACGAGATCCTTAAAGATGTTGTCTTTGCTCATTCTTAATTAGCATTTAAAGTAATAATAAACTTTTCAACTTGTAATATAATAAATCAATTTGTAATATATCAATACACCTACAAAAAATAACAAATTTGTCATCAACGATGTAACGTCATATACGAGATCCGATTTCGGCGATGTAATGATAAAAAGCAGGACCGTCCACAGGAACTATTACATTTCTAAATTTTTAATAAAATTTTTGTTTTATATGGATGTATTGTTATTAAATTACAAACTGAATCGTTTATTGGCATCTCTAAGTCTAATTCAAAATGAGCAAATATAACTTTTCAAAGGCTCCTAGGTTAGAACGCTTGGATACATTATCGTACTGATGAACATGTAATGAGCATGTATTCATTGTCTCCCTTTTAATCGGTGCG